CAAATTAACTTCATTGGAAGATACCATCACTGCCACCATCTCTACCACCAATTGCTGTCAAGTTGATTGCAAATCATGAAGACCTGATGTGTGTCAGAGTAGAACTGTACTCCATAGGGTTTTCAGTGGCCTATTTTTCAAAAGTAGATCTCCAGACCTTTCTTCTGAGGTGTCTATGAGTGGTCTTGAACCTCCAGTCTATCAGTTAGCAGTTGAACATTTTTATTGTTTGCATTACCCAGGGATTCCAGATTGGAAAGATAGATATTTCTAATTGGGATTATTTGCCAGGCAAGTTTATTTTAATTACTGTCATAGCAAACAGGAGATACCAATTGGTGTGGAGTGTGCTTCTAGGTCCCACTGTCTTGGATAGTAGCCTGAGTGCCTGGGATTGTGGAGATCTAAAAAGGTTTTGCTGTGTTAGTCAGGGACAGTTGCTACCTACCTGCCAGGGACTATCAGTCCATGAATTATTGAGGGAGTCAAAATGCTTTCTTTCAGTCTTCCTGAGGAGATTCTATGATTACAGTATGACAGAACACAACTCCCTTTTCGCAAGCGTTTTCTTGCAAATTTGAGTTTTTTTCAAGAACAAGGCAAATTCTTTAATTTGCCATTATAACAACTATAGAGGTAAATTATATTCCAAGGTAGGTATTTTATTATAAATTTAGTTAGATTTTGTGAACATTTTAAACTAATATTTAAAAATAAATCAGAAGTAGAGGCCTAGGATATTATAATGTAAATAAATATTCTCTGCCAGAATTTTATCTATAAAGAAATATTTATATTTATTTGCATTTATTCTAAGTTAATTATAACTTTCTGGATTATACATATGCAAAATTGTAAAATTAAGCAATGATAAATTCTGTAAAGAAGACATAATACATATGATTATATAATGAAGCAGATGTCCATCAATGGTACTATTTTTCTCAGTACAAATGAATGCAATGTGATCCCTGCAAAGTGATGTTTAGGCAAACTACAGGTTCAAACTCTTGCACACCTATATATAATAAAGTAGTCTAAGAAGATGTTTGCAGGCATTTAGATTAACAAAGGACAGTTTAAACAAAGGTATGGTGGTGGGGACAGTGTCAGCAGCTCAGAGCAGGAATCCTCTAAGGAAATTTGTATTTTCTGGGCTTTCAGATAGGATAAGCAAAATTCTTGTTTATCCCTGCACTAGACCAACACTATTATTAATTATGCAAAGTTTTTTTTTTGATGGGTAAAAGAATTTGAGAATGACTCAGCAAGAGTTTCCAAAATCTAATGCCTCTCCCTGCTTATTGAATATGTTATTTTCAGTTCTACTGTCTGCTCTATGTCTCTGGAGTTAAAAGAATGAGATCTACAAAAGGGAGGCTCTGTCACTACAATGGGCCAGCTTTGTGAAGAAGACCCAGTTTTGTGAAGAACACTGAATGGGTTCAGTTCCATTCAATCCTCACATCTTTCACTTCTCATTTAAGTTGGAAATAATTAATACTTCTTTCAAGAGAAGCCTCCCACTTTTCTTTAACAAACAATAAAAACTGGACAAATCCCCTAATCAAAAGTTGATGCTACCTGACAAAAGGTTGTATGTATGTGTGTTTGCATGTGCATGTGTGTTTATTCCTTTGGTTTCCTCTCTGCTTTCATACTTCCCTCTGTATTGATGGTTACTTGGAATGGGGGAGCATTTAAATGTCAAAAAAAGATATAAAAGCAATGGAACATTTTTTTTACAGTCCCTGCTTAAGTGACAGTTAAAGATTTATTTGGAGAAGGGAAGGCTCCCAATTGCCAGTCCCTTAGAAAGCTTGGGGGAGGAGAAGTAAAATCTCACCTATTTTGGAAACTACTTGCAGATGTGGGGAAACCTCTCAGAATTGCTCACAACAGGGGTTTTGCAGAGATTTCCTTTGCTTTTTTTTTTTTTCCACCTCAATTTCCCACAACCTGTGTTTGTCTTAAGTTTGCTCATGACATGTGGTTTACCTCGCTGATCCTGCTGCCAGGTTTTACACATGCCACCTCCAAAGGAGTAAAACAACTGAAGCCGAATGATACCGACCAACTCTGGGCATGGGCGCCAGAACTGTCACAGAAAATTTGCTTCCCAAGTATTCCAACTTCCCTTCCTGCGCCCACGTGAGCCAGAGCGCCAGCCCATCAGCAAGGTCTTAGCGTTTCCTGCTGCTGCAATCTCTAACTTGATTTTGGATTTATTTATTTATTTAATTGCAGTTCTGAGGATCTTAGTTCTTCGCAAAACTTTGTTGGTCTGGGGACTTTAAAAGGAGCCTATTTCCTAACCTAAATCGCGGAGGCTCAGGCACTTTTCCTCCTCTCCAGGGCTGCACTAAGGTTAAACAGCAGCAAAGGAAAGAAACAGACACTCGCTGTTTATTGGGGGGGG